GCTCTCCTTGAAGTTCTTGATGATCCGGTAAATGGTTCTTTCAGGTGCAACATTATTTGAAGCAATTTCCTTGCAAGTGAGGCCATTTTGATGCAAAGCGATGATGGCTGCATGTGTTTCTTTGGAGGTAACCATACACAACACAATGATTGGAAGAGCTTCTTCCCTCCTTTTATAGCAATCAGTCTGCTCTTACAATCTAGTGATTTTACCTGACTAGTAGTACTCATTCACACTTTCACATGTGCTGCGGATATGATTAGTCAGTTAATGTTAGCTGGTCATTTTGTGTCAGGATCAAAAAACAGTGAAAGTTAAATGTAAATGTTTTGGCCAATGAAGCTTTTAGCAATTATTTAAAATGCATCTGATCACTCTACAAAATAATCTAACGACAACGTGAATGAACACCACAACAGCTTAAGCAAACTTTGCAAAACACAAAATTTGTCACTGATAAAACTTTTAGCCATGACTGTACTCATCCATAACACGCTGGACAATAATCATCAATAAATGCATATTATGTGATTTACACATTTTGCAGGTATTTCAAAATGCCTATGAATATAGAAAATGTATATTCTCAGACTTGAGTACTGTGTAATTATCATATTCTGTATTAGATTAAATATAAGTTATCTAAAGCTGCGTGATGTTGGTGTTTCTTGAAGCATAAAGGAATAGTTCACGAATAGAAAACCAAAAAAATGAAATTCTGTCATCGCTTAATCATCCTTGGCTCATTTTAAATTACTTTAAAGCACCATAAAAGTTGTCCATATCTCTGTAATCTCTTGTACTTCCTCTTTAGTCCTAAGTTTATTATGGTGTAAATGTCTGTCATTATTTTATTGCAGAATCACAACCATGAATGCTGTAAATGCTGTGCAGCTGTTCATTCTGGTTTGGACCTTTACTGCTGTCTGTCAAGCTGATAAAGGTAAGAGAATAAACTTCACCTAGAATGAACTAAATCTGAAATAATGAAAAATATCTGATTCATAGATATACAAAACATGGCTCTTTAAAAAGCATACCCAAGAGCTTTTGACTCTTAGTATGATTCAAAATACAGATTTACTGTTTGAACAGTTTTGGATAATAGGAAGAGAAATCCTTTAAGGTCAGAGAGCAGTATAATGTTTTTGTACAGATAAGTGCAAAATCAAATTTTCAATCAAGAATGCATGATCTTGTGTTTTCTCCACTGACTATATGACATGGCAACAGTCTGGATTGGTAAAAATCAGGAGTTTCAGCAGATTTTTATTGTTGCGTATTATATGATTTACATTGTTATTTTTTAGATATCAATGTAAACTATGAGAATGTGACTGGATCTGTGGGGAAAGAAGTAACTCTCACCTGCAGTGTTTCTCTGCTGATAAATGAATGCTGCATTAAAAATAATATGTTTAAATATAAAGACTCAAAAATCTGTGCACAAGATTTTCCTGTGAACCCCTGTGAACAGAGGAAAAGCTTCACATGCCGCTACACTTCAACTACAGCAATGACAGAAAAATTCACATTCTTTGTGCAAGCTTCCTGTGGATGGAAGAAACCCGAATTCACTGTTGACACAACAGGTACTGCATACTGTAACATTTTTGTTTATAGTGCAGTAAATCTTTGCAAATGTCCATTTATGTTATATCTACTAACAGTGGTTTAAAATATATGAACAGAGGCCATTTAACCGGAAAATGATAGTAAAACTCTTGGTATGAAAGCTGTTATATATTTAATATAACTATTGATTATTTCTTCAGTTTACTTAGGACGTATGAACCCAGAAAACCCATCAGGATCCTCTCCACCAGAGACAGCAGCAGGATTCAAGGATACTGTCATCACTGTGCTTGTGAGTGGTTTCCTCATCATCCTCATCATCGTCATCATCATGACAATAATTTACAAAACAAAACCAAACTTCACCAAACTTCCTGGATCCCAGAACAGGATGTGTCTGGTTGTCAAACATGATGAGGACAGAAGCGTTCATCCAGAAGATGTGATATAATAGCACTGACTCAGCAGTATGAAACTAATGACTTATGCAGAGGCGGACAGTAACTAAGTACATTTACTTGAGTATTGTACTTAAGTACACTTTTTGAGTATCTGTACTTTACTTGAGTATTATTTTTTCTGGGAACTTATGACTTTAACTTCACTACATTTGAAAGACTAATATTGTACTTTCACTCCACTACATTTCTATGAAGGTCCTCGAAGTAGAAAGTCGTTACTATGTAGCAGCTTTGAAAGTCAGTGGGTGATTTTTTTTCT